GTAGAGACCGTACTGATAGGCTTGGAGGTGGTGTTGCACTTTATGTTCACAAGAAATACTCACATTCTATAATAGAATTGTCACAGGTTGTTACATCCTGGTAGCAGGAGGCTATATCTATTCCTAAATTAGCTATTGATCTGATTAAGGATCACAGTGCTGCTAATTGAGAGGCCAGCACTGGCAAATGTYGACTATTCATTTGCATTAACACCGGAGACGCTAGCGACCAGCATGGATTAGCTGGTGTTAGAATCGGAGAGGCTAGTGACTAGAATGAATACGCTGGCATTGGCGTCAGAGAGGCTAGCAACTAGCATGGATAAGCTGGCGTTAGCATTGGATAAGCTAGTGACTAGCATGCCTGGGCTGCTCACCTACTTTATTAAACAAACTTTTTTTGAATAAAGAAACTTTCTCAACAAAAATGGTTGACAAACAAAACTAATAAGTGACATGCATTGACAGGTGTTCTTAAACAGAATTTACTATTCAACATGACGTCAAGCATAAATATTAAACATAAAACTTATTACTGTGAAGTAGACAAGTTTAGTTACTGTCATGGTCTAATTATTTATATCRYTTTCCCCTTGACACTGTCCATCCTGTATCTTTCTGATAGCTCATTACGCTCTCGTTGTCTGGACAACGGGACTCCACAATGGACTGGTGGGAGTCTGTGATTGGCTGGACAGTACATTTGGCAATCTGTGATTGGTTGTAAACTGTCACATGGTGTTGACATGATGTATATTATTGACRGACTTCTGCTGACGCGCCCAGTAGCAAACGTGCAGAACTTCCTGATTTCAGTTCTGTTTGTTTGGTGCTCACAATTAAATCATACTTTGATTATCATATACGCAGACACTTCTGGTATTATTCCAACGTGTTTCTGCTTTTGCGACGACAGTTACCATGTCGCTAGCTTCTCATACCGTGCCATGCAGTTTATCAGAGGGTTGATTACAGTTGCATGTCTGATTTAACAGATGTAAAACTGTGTTTGGATAGARACGAATGTAATAAAAGTTTTGGATTCCATCAAGCCTGACATTTTGATATTGGTCCAATTWCTCAACAAATCTATTTCAGCGTAATTCTCTGCATTTTTTGAGCTTTATTGGCCAAAACATTTTTTCAGCCGAGTCAAAACAGTCGCTCCGTGTTTCTGCTTTTGTTAGAATTTTACTGCTTCTGTTTAAACATGTTAGATTTTCAGTACCAGCTGGAATATTTGTGATAAAGCACCACGGTGCTTTGCACCACTGATATTCATCTTCTACCTTCACCTTGTTAACACTATTGTCAGTAATGGATAATGGCCACCGCTTCCCTCTCCTGCTAATGAACACCAATATCAGTCTTTAGGTGTACTGGATTGATGACATGGCCTAATCGTCCCATCTAATTGATACCCCGCCACGCAGCACATATATTTTCCTGATTGGGTCACAAGGTAATCCCTGGGATATTGCACTCTGGCCACGCAGCCTAATGAGTATTTCACCTCATTGAGTGATAAGAAGTCATGCATGTGCTAATGGCAGAGGAAGAGCCTCTTAATCTCATACCTAATGGCACTCTCAAGTTAGATACAAAATCAATTAGGACGGGCATGTTGGAATGGAAAAGTGCTTGAGGGCCCGTGCAGCGATCAAGAAGGAGTTTGTTAAGGGTTGTGTGTGAATTAATGATGGACACAGTCTGGGTTCAGAAAAAAATAAGACTTCATCAAACTGACTGTAGAAAATCTAGAGACAACACCAACTGATCAGGAGTGAACAGATACAAAACATGCAGAGTAGCCCTTAAGCTGCGGCATTTGTCCTCTCACCTGACAGACAATATAAATCGAACTTGCGTGAGTTTTTTTTTTTTTTTTTGCTTCGTTTAACTTACATCTCCGTCTTGTTGGACTGTCGTCGGCAGGGCACGGTGTTGCTAACGCAGGTACCGGTCACAGGGTCGACTGACTCCACAATAACAAAAGGCCGCTCCTCCAGGGTGGCCACCGTCAGGTGTCTGTAATCGGACACTGGCTGCAGGTAGGAACCAAACCGCGGCCAAACGGGGTATCTCATCTGCAGAATCCCCATCTCATAGGTCCCAACCTGAAGAGGAGGGAGAGGAAGGGTAACTCAGCTCAAGGCATTTTTATACCAAACAACTACTTTATGCTTAATAATATAAATGCACTTTATTTGTCATCAATGTATATTCCCATACAATGACTAAATTTGTGCTCTGCATTTAACCCATCACAATTGACAAGCAGCGGGCAGCTATTTAAATGCCTGGGGGGCAGTTGGGGCTTGGGTGCCTTGCTTAAGGACATCACAGCTTGTGGGCATGGTGGGGAATTGAACCTGTGACTTTGTGGTCCCAAGTCAGTTGCCCTGCTGTTCAGAGCTGGGTTAAAAAAAATAAATTTAATCAATCTGGATCGATTTTCGTTAAAATTTGGGAAAATTGATTCAGAAGTCAAGAGATCAATTTTTTCCCAATGGGTGTTGTGTGTGATGAAGCTGTGCGTTTCCGTGTTGTGTGTCACTCCTGGCTTGCCGTAGGTTTACATCCAGTTGACGGTCAGTGCTAATGTTAGCTCCCGACAACAAGTTGTAGGAATCACTAACATTAACAGCTGATTCTCAGCAGAAATTAAAGATAACAGAGACCATGACAACTTTTGTTTGCAAAGATTTCGCTCAGACGCGGTAGCAGGAAACGAAGCATCGAGCGMCTCGTTCAGGTGCTTGAATCAAAACTACTGTAGGTAAACATCTGACTGAAACTGTTCTCGGCATGTATAAATGTGTGAAAGATGACAGTCTAACAAAATCGTTTAGTTTTGTTACAAATATATTTTTAAATTTAAGAAACATAATGTAATTCACAGTGATGGAATGTTTTTTAGCTAAAGTACTTTTTTTCTTTCTTGTAAATAAGTTTAATTGAACAGAAGCTAACAAACATTACAAATATACAGTTTTCATACTCTCAAAAGAGTGGGCAGAAGTATACACTTATGTTATCCCACCTCTTCTCCTGTAACCTTATTCCTTCGCTTCTTAGTGATCAAGAAAATTATTCTTAGTTTCTAAAAAAATTCGTATCCAACAACACTTTCTCTTGCAATTCCTTTTAGTTTAAACCTTTGAAACTTGAGAGAGTTTTGTTTCAAGATTAAACTCCAATTTACAAGTTTGCACTTAAGGCTTATAATTTTACCAATGCACCAAGTTAGAATTAGTTTCTACTATTTGCAGAATTAGTTCCTTTGAGCATGTCTTCTATATCAAAGTAAATGTGTTACTGCATGATATCCTTAATTAATTTAAAAATCAATCAAACTGAATCGTGAATTGTTGTGAATCCAATTGATTTGGGAAATCTGAATCGATACCCAGCCCTACTGCTGTTGCACCACAGCCGCCCCCACAGACCATTTTGTAGTTAAAGGTTGTTACAAATACGCATGCACAAATCTGTAAATTTATGTCTTTTTATATAAACTCAATGTATTTGCCCTAAACTGATTTGTGTTAAATTTTCTTTTAGGATCATAGATGAGACATTTCAAAAATATCTAAGATATGAATCTCCTTTTTGAGCGCACTGAATTTGCACGATTCCATTGGTGTTTTCATAGCAACCTCAGCCTTTTCTTGGTTGACRCGTGATTCGTAACTACAAAATCATACAGCTATAACACTTTTGTCATTTGTTTAGTTGTTTATATTATGTTGTTATTTTTAGATTTGAATGTGTTGATCCAGAGCAGTGAGGATGTTTAGTTTGCGGAGTTTAAAGGAAACTGATTTGTGGGTCACAGGGGCTGTAGTGCAGTAATTACACATCTCAATGCAATGAAAGCAGCCCCACCCTTCTGTATTAGCAGTCTTTAATTAGATGTTGTGTGGAAATGAGCCTTCATGTGTGAACCGAATACACGACTTCAACATTTGGAGCTTTGTTGTTGGAAGGAGTGTTGACCCCCGTTCAGCACCGCATTTCTAACAACTCCTCTGCTTTAAATTGGAAGCAGAGAAGGAGGGATGAAGGTCACCGAGAAATAACTGAACTTCAATTACTACAAACACTAACACATCCTGGTGATTGCCATCTGTGTTTAATGAGCTGCTGGAACCACCAAAGCACCGTTTCATGGAAAAGATAAGCAGCTGGTTGTGGTTTCTAAGAAGGCCTGACTTTTACAAATAATGAATCTTTGAACAGCTCTATGAGAATATCACGTTTGTCCTCACGTGAACTAATTCTTAAACTCGTCCTGAAGCAGTCACAGCTTCTCTTTCACCACAACAAACTGGAGCAACATCCTCATTACACAGTCTGATCCATTGATTCGAGTGATGTTTAATGCAAGGGAAATACACCTTTAGCATAATATCATGAGTGCATAATATCAAAGCAGTTTTAAACCTATTTATGTGACATGATTATTCACACAAACGTTGTTTCCTCATGAATAAACAAGTCAGTGATCTGAGTGAACTGCTGAAGGACAGCTGAGGGACGTTTAGTGACGATAAAAGCCAGTAACCGCACGGTTGTTGACTCAATGTCTTACTAAAACCAAATGCTGCTCAATGATTAAACAACTTGTCTTTGTATTATTAGGTCAACATGTGGGTTTTAAAGAAAACAAAAACAACCCCACTCCCCTCATACAAGTTTTACTGTTCTTGCAGGAAGGGGAYCAAACTTAAATCAATCCAGCTCGTCACAACGACAGGAAAGAGGAAGAAATGAGTGCAGGGAAAAATGTAAATATCTGTTTTCTTTGGACAAAAAGCAACTATTTGTCTTTGCTGCCTCTCGTATCGACCACTCAGCTTAACTGGAGCTCCTGTTGGGAGCGTTTCCTCAAGTCGCTTTGAATTTCAGATTACAGCAAAGGATGTTGATGAAAAACCTTTTGCCTGTGGGCGCTCGGGCTGTGCTTTTTAAAATATATATATTTTTTCTCAATGAAAACAATTAGTCAGGGTTTTAAAAACAGGAAGTGGTGAAAACATCACTGTGGAGGCAAATGTGTCTATTTTCAAATTAAAATGGATTAATAGAAMGCTTTTTCATTTTCATAATAAAGCTGCATTTTTTGACTCATAAATAAAATTAAAAATAAATCATCCAGATTGCATTTTCCTTTTCTTCTCCAAGACATCACATGAGTAAAGGTTGAGCATTTTTTAAAGGGTTGGGTATCACCCAAATATCTGTCATGACTGAGTTTTACACTAAGATCATCTTATCTTGAAAATCATATTTTAGCTTTCTTCACAAGATATTTTGATATCACGCTTGAAATTTTTGTTCTTAAAAAATAATTGCAGAGTTTCTGTACCTTACTGGTTTACAACACAACATTAAAACCTTTTTATTCTTTACAGACTAACATCATTGAGAAAGCAGAATTGCCAGGAGTACGTCTCATTCTTTTTACACTCTGCTTCTTTCTTTTGTCACGTTCCTTCCTCCATCTTCAAAGTGACTTTGACTTTGGAATCTCTTACAGCAGCTGAAGAATTTATCGTGGAAAGTTTCCATTTATACAACTCCTTGATAAAAGCGTTGTAGTGATATGGGTTTAATAAGAGAAAAAGTAATAGCATTGTGTGTATTTAGTGTCAGGCTGGAGCTGCTTACACACAAGTGATGTATGAACAAAACAGAGCGGCACCTTGCAACACGTACGGGGAGAAAAAGCTGGCAAAAAGGCAATTCAAAAGTGGAATTGATTTTCAGCTCGCAGAGAAAATAGGCCAGAGGCAACAGAAAGTTAAGCACAGAAAATGGATTGGCTTACACAACTTGGATGAAATTTAGTGAAATGAGAACAACATTGTTCTCTAAAGGAGTGAGATTCTTTTCTGTTTGGAAAGGTTTAAGTAAAGGTCAGAACGCTGGAATCAGGATGGATGGATTCAGTTTTTCCTCTATTTTAAACATCCTGTTTTTATAGATTTTTATACAAATGTTTATCTTTGAAAAGTTCAAATATCGGTTTGACCTTATTATAACATACTGGGAAATATTCTAAGTTGTTTATTTTTGGAACTCAGAAAATTGCCAGTTCACAGAACTAAAAAGTGTTTTTAATATTTATTTTTGTCCATATTTTATTGATTCAATGTGAATTTGTCTTACATTTCCCTCTGCTTTCCTGCTTCTGTTCCTTTTCTTGTGGTCTCAATAAAATATTGAGCATTAAAGCTGCAGCACCTGAAATAATCAATCTTAAGATTATAAGCTGTAAACTGCCTGCAGCCGTTCTCCTGAGAATGCTCTTTAAGTAGTATTTTTTTTTACTGATGGAGGAAGTGATCCATGTCCAGGTCCTATTCACCACATGTGGCGAGATTATTGTTTCAGTCTTAAAACAAGCCGATGAGGCATTTACAAACTGTTTTCATTATGTGTTCAGGGTGAAAGAATACAAATATTTTGTAGAACRAAAGCAGCATGCTGCAGAGCGACTCTGTTTGGTTTCATCAGCTGAGTGCATCTGATCTCTAAAAACACATTAAAAAGTCATTGTGCAAAGAAAATACTGCAGGAAATGAGATGTCTGCTGTACCGTCAGCCTTGAAAGAGCTCACCTTGTCCCACTGTCTCTCTCTGTCCAGAGTGATGATGATCATGGCTGGATTCACCAGGTAGCCATTACTGTTAAAGGAGAAGTCATTGTGCTCCCAGGTTACATTCAGCATGTGTCTGAGGAGGGAAGAAAGAGATGGTCCAAATCACATTCCAGTCATCTACTTCAACAATATATATATATTTTTTCAGTGGTGGGCAGCGCTAATCCAAAAATTAGTTCCACAATTTCTAAAGCACTTATGAAATTATTTAGGTTCACAACTTCAAAAGCTCTTGTGCCATAGAAATTTTAGCAGAAGCTAATTTTAAAGCACAAGTTCAATTTGACACTTACTAGCTGGCAACAATTTATGTACAATATATGTACAACACTGCCAACTAGCAGTGTATGAACTCTTTTACAACTTAATTCTGCAACTGCCGATTYCTGGGGATGTGATTTCCTGAAACAGACCTTTAGCTCCTGGTGTAAAAATTAAAAAGTTGTTGAGGATTGCTAGTTCGGCTGCTTCTTTGTCTTTTTCTTTTGTTTGTTGTAGATTTTTCATTAAAGAAGCATCAATAAAGTAATTTTAAAACTAATTATTAGAAAACTGAAGCAAAGCATTCTGGGTACATGACGGATTTGATTTGTGACGGGAAACAAAAGCACAGTTGCTCCAGTTGACKATTAGATGTCAGTCTTCATCAGCATAACGTCTTTAAATCATTTTTGAGTCTCTAACCCCGTTGCTTTGACCAGTTACGTCAAGTATTGAGCTCCAGCTCAAGCTTTTAAACTTAAAAAAGGAGCTCTGATTGTAAAGTTAAATAAATCAATACATACAAAATTTTAGTATGGATTACAAACGTTAACTGTTTTTGCTATTGCCTTCCTGCTACGTAAGCAGACACAAAGCATTGTGGGAAATGAGATCCGTGACCCAAAGCAACAGTCAGCAAGGATGTATACCTTCACAATAAGTGTGTTTATCTGGGAGGGGTGCTGTTGGATAGATCACGTGTGTTGTGATTCATTGACAGTCATACCCTCCGCTGTTCAAGATAATGACGAATGGTAGATAATTAGTTATTAGCGGTACTGCATTTTAATTTTAGAAAATGCAAATCCGCCTATGAGTTATAAAAATTAGTAAGACTGCTAAAGCGCAAACAAAATATTTAGTTCCGCAATTAGTGGATTTGCGCTTTAGCAGGCTGGTGCCCACCACTGTGTATTTTATAGACCAAACCTTCAACAACAAGAAGAAAACATGAAAATACAAATATAAATATTCATTCTTTGCATTTCATACAAACAACCTCAGCTACAGGAGACTGTTATGGACAAACTGACCCCAAAAGTGCTTTCCCAACCTCAGCTGCCTGACGGTTTGCTGGAGTTTCTATCCAAGACCTTACCAAACTCCTCCCACATCTTTGCTTCAGCAGCCGCCCGATTGGCTCACAGAGACCCCCGAGCTGCCTCTGGAGTCTCACCAGCTAACAAGGCTCAATATAACTCAGGCTGTGTCTCAGTTCAGGGGCTACATCCTCATGAGTGCGCCTAAATCAATGCCCCCTGCCGAGTGCTGTCCCAATTCAAAAGCTCCTCCTCATGCAGCCCACAAAATCTCAAAAATCAAGGATGCATCAGAGTATCCTTCCCAGCTGAGGATATCCCAGGATTTGATGCATTGTCAGCAAACTAAACAGAGAAAACAAAGACTGTGGCGTTTCTAGTTTTTTACCAAGCCGGCGTAGTTTGGAAGTTCATCACTGAAGAATTGGTTTTTAAATGTAAGTTTAGTAACTTAGATGATAGCTACAAGTACTGATACTGAAGCTGAACCCAAATTATTAATGTTTTTTATTTATTTACGTGTAAGATTTTAATTGTGAAGTTATTCTTCCGGTGAAAAGATGTGTGAATAGACCGTCTCTTTTCACAGCAGTTTCATGCAGCCTACCTGGACTGAGAAGGATGTGGACCACGTGGTCCACACACTCATGAGGATGCAGCCCGTGAGTTGAGCCACAGCCTCAGTCTTCTGCTTGACAGCCTCCCTCACCCATGATGTCTGTCTACCACTGGGTTCAAAGATGGCCGCCAGGGCAGCTGCCTTGATAGACTGGATGTCCCACGCCTCTTTACAACCTACAGCAGGATAGTTTTAAACCCAGGCCGACCTAAATGAACCAGTTAATTATTGGTTTTCTCTTTGCCTGCAGCGATGTGTCAGGTCACTGAGTAGAGTTGTGTTCGATAACCGTCACATGTGGTGACCAAATCAGTAAACTCTGACAACATGAAGGCCCTGTCCACAACACACCAGGAGTACATTACAAAATAAAGATTTGTAAAAATCCAATGTGTACTCAGATTCCAAGCTTCTGAAATACAACCACAGAGCAGCTTGAGTTGTAAGTTCTCACTACCAGAGGTCTATAAAGTACTTGGAAAAAAATAACTAAGTAAAAGTAAAATTATATGAACAGACAATGACTTTGGTAAAAATAAATTTCACTGATGAGAAAACTACTCAAGTAAAAGTCATAAAACTTTACTTTACACACGCTCTTAAAAAAATGTTGAACTTAATGAACCAAACTGGTTCCACTAATCCAGGTTGAGTAAATTGAGCGATATATGTATATTTGTTCAGTTTACTCACCTAGGCTCAGTGGAGCCAGCTGACATGACTTTGCTGAGTAAATTCAACTCTTCATTTTTTAGAGCAGAAACTTCTGTAATGATGAGTTCAAACATTTAATTTTGCAACGAGTAACTAGGTGTTACATTTTAAAGTAAATAAGTAAAAAGTATAATTTTTAGCTATAAAATGTTACGAAATAAAAGTAAAAGTAGCTATTTAAAAAATAATTGGTAAAATTACAAATCCTCAAAAAAAAACTACTTAAGTACTGTAACAAATTAAATGTACTTAGTTAATATAAACCTCTGCTCACTACTAGGTCTGCACAGTATTAGGAAAACCTTCGATGTGCGATAATGGTGCTTAATATTGCAATGACACCATGACTTGCAATAAAAACTAATACTTCATTAACATTCCAGTATGATTTTTTTAAAAAATGTGAAGAGATCCATCCAACTGGTCCAATACATGAAGGCCTCCATTTGATGGTGAAATACCTGAAGCTTGATTGATAAAACACAAAGGCAAATTTTGAGCCAACCATTTTTTGCAGTTTTTGTGATATGCCTGTTGCACAGGTTGTTATCCTGATGACGATAATTTTTTTAATATATTGCGCAGCCCTACTCTCTACTGCGTGTTTGTGGTGTTTGCATCCTTTCTCGTTAATCAGTGGACAGATTTTAATGAAACTCTTTCATAAAGTAATTCTTGGATGTACATCTACCAATCCAACATGGCTGCCACAGCTAATGAGCTATAGCCAGCACAAACACGATTCTCGCTTATTAAATTGTGAAGATATTGAGCTAAAATTTGGTGTCWTCCTCAACACATTCTGAGCACCATTACATCTTACAAGAACTCACATTATCATGAGATTGCACAAAACATTTTCATAATTTGACCAAAATGGTTATCTCTGAGTTCTATTTTCAGAGTACATAATAACCATGCCTGACTGTAACAATAAATAAATAAACTTTATGATTTCATCACTCAGACCCATTGTTGCATTAGATGTGTGAGGCTGTGCTCTCCGCTCACGCAGCGCCCCCAGCAGAGGTGATGAAAGCCTGCTGGGAGGAGGATGGCCCTCAGCCTGGTCTGTGTGAAAAGCCTGTTTAATCTGGTCACCTGCGCTAATCTCATTACCAGGTGAGCTGACTCATTATCAAAAGCCTGTTTGAAAAGGATCTCTAATCAAGCGAGCACAAAATCCGACAATAAAGGAGGCTGTCCATGTTTGATCTGACTGCAGAGAGAGGAGATCTGACGATAAAGCTAATTGAAAGTGCTTTGTTCTGTCTGGCTGACCTTCAAATTACTCCTGTTGCTCCACATGTGCCTGCTGGCTTGTAGCATGTCAGAATGGAAGAGTCTGTACTGTATCAAAGCCTGAGATTATGTTCACCATTTCTGCTTTTTATGAACACTTTGGTTTACAAAAGGAGATGTGTGTGTCCCTGAAGGCACCGCTGACTCTGAAGTGAAATTACTTTTGACATCAGAGGGATGTTGTATAATTCAAGTTGAGATTTAAATGATGTGTTGTGGCTGGTCTGCAGTGACCATCAGCTTATGTAAACAACATACAGCACATTTCCAGTCCAGAACTGCTGCAGGATTTTTTTCTTGGCTCATATTTTTTCACTTATTAAAACATTTTTCTTACAAAACAGGATTTACTTCCTTCTGCGTAGCATAGATGGCATCAGATTGCTCTTTTAGACATGGTTTAACTGATGGAAAAATTGCTTTTTTATCAGTTTTCTCTCACACATCACTTCACCTCGCAGATAAATAACCTCTCAAAGTCCAAGAGATGTAAGAGCCTTTAGGTGCTGAGGAGATGGAGAGGCAGAGGATGCTATAAAATGTACTCCACAGTAACACACAGTTTTTGCTAGTCTTACAGATGTTAGATCTTAATTATTGCTTTTTTTTTTCTTATTGCTCTCTTTCCTGCATGCATAAGTTTAAAGGGGACCTATTAGGCAAAATTCAATTTTTACGTTTATGAGAATATCCTTAGTTTTGGTGTTTGTCAATTTGTTTTTATTTTTTTAACTGAGTAATTTCACATTAGCTGTGGGCAGCTTACGACACCTCATGGTTTGTAACAACACTTGTTTACAGTCTGCTGCTCYGCATCACCTGCTAAATGACAACAACAAAGGTTGGGAGAAAGTGTCCACTTTGAGATTTCTTTGAATTTGACTGCGAGAAAAATAAAAGCAAGTGTCTTGTAGTGGGAACAGCTGATAAAACAGGTGGGATACTTCTCAAGGGAAAAACTGCATGAATCAAACTCGCACAAGATGCTAACTATAACTATCTTGACACGCTAGCTTCTCTCAGTAGCTCCCATGAAAAACAATCAACAGATAGCACCAGGTTGGAGACAACTATTGTCATCGTCCTAAAATAATCACCCAAGTTTTTAGTTGGAAAAATTAAGTTAGGCAATTATTTTAGGAAGGTGTTGCTATAATGGGTGCTTTAACTAGCAACCAAATAGCTGCTGGTTAGTTAACTCACAGGAACATCACAAGCTGGAGGATGCATTGGCAAATATGTTTATTCAAACTATAAAAAAACTAATACTAGAACTAATAAAAACTAAACTGAATCTAAGCGTTAAAAATGCAATAACTAATAAAAACTATCATATCCACTATAAAAACTAATTAAAACTAACTGAATTAAAATTAACCAGAAGAGCCAGAACCAGAATTAGTCCCCTCTAAAACAAATTATTTGCGATCTGTTGATGACTCTCAGCTACAGCACATGAAAGTTTGAGCTCAGTATTTGTCAAAATTTGTGGCATCCCGTTTCATTCACAGTTGTGTAGTGGTTCATGAAATATTTTGCTAATAGATAAACACACACAGAGACACTGCGTTTCATAGCAGTGGTAGATAATTCTAATACGGCTTACCTGAACAGGGTGTCGTTAGCTGCTGGTGATTTGACAGGGTTGTGACAGTCACTGTGACCCTCGGGAATGAAACCTCTTTGTTTTCGAAATCCTTGGACGCCTTTGACCACGATGGCCACTCCATCCCGCACCCTTTTCCTCAGGCTCATCCTCCAGCGATCCGTAATGATGCTGATGAGCCCCACAGGAAAGCTGTCCGGTGGAGGGATGTCCGGGTTTCCCACGGCCATGCTGGGGATAATCCAGATGTAACCCGGCCCCACGAGTCCGGCCTCGGCCGCCAAGGTGAAGAGGTACTGGGCCTCTTCGTGGGAGCAGTAGACCAGCAGCACCTGGGCGTCTATCTGTTGCAGCAGTCTCCGCGCTCGTATATCGTTCAAGTTGTCGGCGGACATGTCGAAGGACAAAACATCCTGGAGGTCCCACATGAAGTAGCTGGTGTCCGTGAAGGACTTGATGTAATCCACATACGTTTCATAACCTGGATACAGGCTGGTTATGACCACAAAACTGTCCCAGTTGTACTCCTCCATCACCTTAAACATGCCGTTGATCTGCTGCTCGATGGAGGATCCCAGCTGCAGGAAGTTGGAGCCCTCACCCTGCAGGAAGAAAAGCATCCTCATCATCCAGAGAACCAGATTTGATCTTTATTTAACCTGCTGCATTCTGATTAACAAGCAGAATTAATGGAGTTTAATTCAATGTGTTCACCGTGGAATGAGATCTCTCTGATCGAGACTGCGCACACATAATTCATACTTCAACAAATCACACAGTGTGAGGCGAGTCAGCCGACCAGTAGAGCCTGTAGTGCTGCTTTGACAGGACCTAAGTGGTTCTGTTTTATTTTGCTTCTCCAGGAGCCGCAGACCCATTCATCACTTAAACCCACGTGTCTTATTTTTGCCGTGGAACGCCGGCCGTCATCCCTGCTTGCAAATTCCACGGGATAACACCATCACCGTGGCCGGCACTTGTTCTTCGTTTCATCTGTCTTTGCTCTGACCTTGAGAGACAAATGACTGTAGCTGTTCTGTTAAGTCTATTATCAAAAGAAATACGAGGGAGGGAAAAAGATTAAAGCTTYTTTTATAGTGCAATACATTTTTCCCCTGAATATTTTCAGCAAAGCATTGACTTGTGAAGAAGTGTTTCACATAAAATTAACCTATAATTTGAAAACTWAACAGCTGCTGGGACATTAATGATGAAGACAAGACCAGAGCTGTTGGTAAATGCTGCTTTTTATTCTGATTTAGTGTTAATTTGATTTAAAATGATGCTTGTAACATCTATAAACTTCTTCAGAGATGGAAATTGAAAAAGCCATACCACAGAAACAGCTGCACCGATCAACATGAAATTTGGCAGGAATGTAGAGTGTCTGACCGACACTGCTCCAGCCAACAGTTTTATGATAGACCCCATATTTGAGGAGGGGGCTCCATCTGAAAAGGGGGGTGTCTAGACATAAAAAAGGCTTATAACTCAAAAACTGTTCAACATAGGAGCTTCAGATTTGTTTGGTTGTTTAGCTCTGATGAGGGGCTATCCATCAGACCCACCAATGGGCACCCCCCAACCCCTCTGGACTCCCACCCAAAACAATAAATCTGTTCTGGTGAGTAGGCCTGTCACAGTAAATCAATAAATCATCCGATAAAATTAATTGAGGAATATAAATTAAAATGAAGACAATAATTTTAATTTGCATGCTTGCTTGTTTTCTTCCCTCTTTTATACTTCTTAGCGTAGAGAGGAGCGTCAGGTATTTGCCAGGCACATGGTCTGTAACTTCTGTAGCATGAAAGCTCGTGAACAGGCGTTCAGCCAGAGGAGTGTCTTCAGTTTTCTGATGTCTTCATACAGCTGGTGACGCCTTGGAATTGCCAACAGTTGATTTTTCTTTTTCACTATGTACATTTTAATGTAAACTTCTGTAAACAGTGGGGTTATGTCATTATATTAGTTTAAACTGGTCTCCAACAATATTATCGTTTATCGCAGTAATTTCTGAGACAATTTATCGTCCAGTAAAYTTTGTTATTATGACAGGTCTGCTGGTGAGCTCTGGTGCATTGGAGCTTTGCGTACAMGCAGGTGTCATATATGCTACCGCTATGCTGCATGTGGTTTGACTCTCTGATGCATTTTGTCTTTAAAAAAAAACCAATATGGATAAAATTTAATCCTGTTTAATATGTGATGCTTTTTCAATTTCTTAAATTTATAGAGACAAGAAGCMGAACTTTTTTAACAAACAGAATTTACAGGGTTAGGTCTAATTCTGTCTTTCTGCTGTAAATGAGTTCAGTCTGGTGGTTTTGATGTTGGTGTAAAAACTGCCAGACAGAGAGGCTGGTGGACCCCTCCTGGCCTTTCCCCTCTCTGGTGGGGGGGAACCACTCTGCACTGAGCACTCAGCTTTCACAGAACAGAGGTCAGGTACCCTGAGACARGGCTCACAGTCTTCTGATCTTATTCATTCTGTCTCCCAGTTGTCCTTCGGAAGAATCCAGCAGTCGTTTGATGTATGAAGAGTTTTAGACGTCATGGTTAAACCCACCAACTTTATGCTCCTAATGGTGCCGTCGTATCTGTCTCATCACCGTACTCCGGCCTGTCCCCAACCATACCCAGCTGTTTAATAACTGCTTTTCATGCATGCTGCACTTTTATATTAAATAGGAGTTTAAATGTACAACCACACTGATCGCAAAGTGGAATTAGGACGATATCTGCTTTCTGCCATTAGTTCTTATTCATTTTCAATTCATTACATCAAAAGCAAAAGCTCATATATTTTCTTTAAAGTTCCTGCTCTTTTATGTCACTGGTTAAAATTTGCATATATTTTACATTCAGTTATCAACTCCTTTTGTAGGAATTGGTTCTGCTCGGTTTAAGAACCTGCAGCGGACTAAGATGGATTAGACTGCACCGGAGGCTGGTCGGCAGCACACATTCACACTGGCTGTAGAGATTTTATGCAGGTTGGTCACGGAGGAACTCCTGAAAATCATATAAATCTACTCATTTTCCCCTCGGCCTCACTGTCCCACAGCAAATCTGTTGGTGCTGTTGCCTCAATCTTGTAAGCGCGATGGTCTGGACCCGCTTCTGCAAGCTTCTAACACTCACCAGCAAGGTGAGGTGGTAAAATATCTACAGAAAATGTCTGTTGACATAATTTACACTTTAGGTTTTATTTTATTTGGAATTACTGATGAAACCATCAGATTAGGACGGCCTGAAAACGATAAACCGAACGGCTCAATTAGCAGAGAGCAGTCTGATGGCACGGTCCAAATTAGCCCGTGGCGTAACCACTGGTTCTAAAACTCAAAGTCTGAAGTCACAACTGTCTCTCCAGTGGGCCGAGCTTGTGGAGTTCTGTTGAACACAAAGCTCAAAGGCATTTACACAAAAATGGAAATTAAAATCTGAATCTGTAATGATTGTCYGGCAGCAAATGTAGATTTAAGAGACCAGTGGGCTCAAATAAATCAGATGATATTATGAGTAAAGTTAGTTTATTCAGTCTAATTAATATCTGAACAAAGACAGATACAGGGTTTTGACAATGAAACTGAAACTCCTGGTTTTAGACCATAACATCCCTTTCAGACAGCTTCCTCTTGCGTCCACAGTTAATCCTGTTGGATGTGGTTGGTCCTTCTTGGTGGTATGCTGACATTACCCTGGATACTGTGGCTCTTGATACATCACAAAGACTTGCTGTCTTGGTCACAGATGCATCAACACTTTGTCCTCGTTTGAACTCTGGTATGTCACCCATAATGTTGTGTGCATTGCAATATTTTGAGCCAAACTGCTCTTATCCTGCTAAATGAACCTTCACACTGCTCTTACTGGTGCAATGTGCAATTAATGAAGATCGACCACCAGGCTGGTCCAATTTAGCCATGAAACCTTCCACGCTAAAATGACAGATGTTTCAGTTTCACTGTCTAACCCCTGTATGTATTTCCAGACAGTTATCCAATAATTCTTGTATTTTGTTGGATTTAAAGACTACTAAGAAATACAGTAAGTTGCTGTACTTGAGTTGGAGCTGAAACTTTAGCTGTTTGGGCAAAATTTCCTGATAAACTAAATGCTACAACAGTTTGTACACACCTTGCATGAGTCCCAATGGATACAGATTTTTATTTTTTATTCACAGATTAAATACAGTAATTTAACATGAAATGAAAGAAAAGCTACAGGCTGAGTTGCATTTAAAAGTGCTTGGATTATCACGTATGAATCCTCCAATCAGATGATTTAACTGTAGCCCACCCCGGTCCTCCATCCCCCCTCCACTCTCTATCCTTCTCTCTGTGAAGAGTGACTTCTGGCCACGGCTTCTTGATGCAACATATGTGTGCCTCCGCCTCACAGCAGGAAGTGCCCTGGCAACACCTTCCTATGCTGCTGACATCACACAGATCCTGCACCGTGTCCGCAGACAGACACACAACTTTGGAGTCATTTGCATCTATAAAAAGCAGACTGCATWTAGTGTGTAGACTGAAAAATAGCTCAACATCCTTTTATCATCCAGTTTATTTGACTTCAGTGTGTCTTAAATAGGATCAAGCTCAAATAAACAAAACAATTTAACTTAAAAAAATGTAGGGGTCACCTCGAGTGAAGAAACAAGATTTACTGCCTCGAAGCAGGCCTCGGACAGGCCTGACGAGAGGACAGGAACTCTGTCACAAACTGAACTCTATTTAGGCCATGACAGGTCATTCCAACTGTGGAAGAGAACCTCTCAGTTCTCTTAATCAGACAATGGACAGAACAATCTCTTCTGTTTATGATTCATTTGTTGTTTAACTAAGAATGTTTATGCATTTGTTAAATCATGATAATGACTGTCACAGGAAAAGTGGAACCACATCTTTTCTTTTATCGTGCCTTAAAGATTTATAATGGTATAAAAAATCACAGAGAATCTGATTACAATGTTTTCATTTTGTTTTTATGTAAATCACTGTTTTTATTTTACTGTGAACACAGTAATATAATTGCGGATTTTTCCTGAGAAAATCTTTCATTTGTCTGGACTAACAGAAGGTTCAGAACTGATTATAAAACAGAAATGTTAATCAACAAATGTTTTGCAGTGATTTCTCTTAGTCTATCAGAAGAAAGCTGAAAAAAGGTTATCATATCATGTTGTTGAACAACCACAGAATTTTAACCTTGGGCTGTCGCCGGCCGTCAAATCTTTATCATTCATTCTCTGACTCATCTCTAAGCCTGAGGGTGGAACCAAAGTTCGTCCGTTTTTTTTACTAACCCGGACGGCTTTGAGCGACARACTCTTCTTCCTGATTCCAACCTAGGAAGACWGCTGGGATTCTCTCCGGAAAAACCTCAGTTTGGCTTTAAGTCTGATCCCATGAGCTAATTAGGGAAGACTTCACATCCAGGGACCCGGCATGCCTGCTGGTGGTTCCAAATTGAGGCTTCAAGCCTCTAAGTGTGTTTTTACCTCCCAAGGGAAGATTTTATTTTGGAAGGAGGAACCGGATATGGCTTGAATTTTTCTGGCTTGGACTGAAACAGATGAAAGTTACCTGGAAAA